CCCCCCTACCCGTATTCCATGTTAAGGCTGTCTGGCGCGGGAAGTCTGAACGTTTGTACGGGGCGCGACGGAGGGCGAAGGAGCGCCAGGTGTGGATAAACAGAGCGAGAGGGAGCGTCATGAAACGTGGATCTTCCAAAAATGTATTCGGGCGAACCGGCTTGCGTTGCGATTTCAAATCGTTTCACAAGAGACGTTGTCGGGGGTGGATGCACGTGGAAATGACCTACTCGAAAAATCTGGTCCCCTTCTGGAGGCCAAGGACAGTATTCGTAAGAATGAAGCAGCCAACACGTAGATCGGGTTTTGTCGAGAGTGGCTACTTTTCGCGGTGGTGTCTACAATACCAAACCTCTTTTTAAGAAAAGCAAAGCAGCTTTGCTCGGCAGATGCGCACAAGCTCTGTATGCATAGGTAGCTAGAGTCCTTGCCCGCGCATTTTCGTGTCGCAGGGCCAATCGACAACGGGTCCGTAGAGATGTTGCCTGAGGGTGTAGTCGCAAGGGTTGTGTGCCCCTGATAAATTCAGACATTTCGGAGCTTGCGGGCCGAACAGAAGGGTTTTCTTGTTTCGAAGGAGGCGTCATCGACCTGTTGGACAACCTCCCATTCGTGTCAGCTGGAGATTTTGCTATATTTTCTACCAAGGGAAAGTAACCTCGAAACGCCCTTGGGTAGTCATATCGAAACACCCTTCGGTACTTGTGTACGCTAGAAAACATTCGGCTACACAAGCAGATCAAAAGTGTCGTCGTAACCGCACCGTGGCGCTGCGAACGGTGCGTTGCTGGCAACACGAGGTGATTGATACCTCACGCACAACCCTAAGCCGCCTGTTGACCCGAACGCCGTCCTCCCGTCGTTCCCCATCCGCTGCTGCTACATCAAGGCCCAAACCAGAGTGTGGGCCTTGCGGGAGGAGTACCTTCAGGAGGAGGCGATGGCTTGCCGGGCGCAAAGGAGCATTCGGGCCTTCCTGAGGAACAAGCGCCTTCGAGACGCGTCTATCCAGGTCTTCCAGGCCGCACGGTCGGGAGACGTGCCTACCGTTGCAGGGTGCGCATTGAAGCCTGCAACAGCTACCTTCTAGTTCGTCACCAATCGTTGTCGACATTATGTGTGTATTGACAATCTCGATGGAGACGTGTAGGGAGAATCTGTTCAATTCAATCACACAGGCACCCACCTATGTTGCCAGGGCTGCTTTCGAAAAGAGCCCATCGCCACACGTGTTCTTCCCCCAGATGTACCAACGCCGAACGCGCGCTTCCCCCGATTCCAGGCACTTGAGCGAATGGCCGGCTCTGTTGTATCTGCGCGATCGACACGATGGTGATGCTCACGCCGGTGTGGTGGGGGGAGGAGCAGAGAAAAGCGTTCCCAGCTATTCTACGTTGCTGCACGCCGCCTGCCAGGTAGGTGCTGCTGTTGTGGTCGTTGTTGTGACGTACAGGCGGGAGATATTGGTGAAGCGGTGTGGCTCTCTTGTTGCCTCCGCTTGCAGCGCTAGGTTCCAGGTGTGTTTACTTTGATCTGTCCGTCCCATAGACCATCGAGCCATACCAACCCTCGATTGCCATTCTGCGACTGCCCTATCGGGAGGCTTTCAACGAGAGCGAGACTATTTGGGAGGAGTGGCTTCGTCGAAAAAAACCTGTCCCGCCAAGGCGTTCGTTGATTTGCGATTTATTCCTTTGATTTTGCTTCTTTGACCTTTTTCAGGGAGGTGCCATTGAAGTGGTTGCCCTCTTGGAGCCGTTCTTGTCCGAGATCACCGATAAGGACCGCTGGGGCAACACCGCCGTACACGTCGCCGCTGCAGAGTGCAACTACGACCTGCTCAAGTTCTTGGCTCATCGGGCGAACCTGGAAGTCAGAAAGGTACCCAAAAGGCAATTAACAGACAAAGAAGGACTTCTCCGTTCGAGACGCGTGTTGTTGTTTTCGCTGTGGGTGCCATGTAATTTTTCAGTTTTGAGGACACGCTATCATGCGCTAAACAAGTGCACAGCAATTCTCATCGCCGTTTGGGGATGCAGCGTAAACATGTTGGTTGTTAATGTATTTTATCTGAGAATCAGCTCGAGCACACCGGTGAGCGTCCCGACGAGCAATGTTTCTTCGCCGACACGCCACTGATTGACTCCGGTCCACTCTGCTCGTAGCATCGTCCGCCGGAAATCATCACAACAGAGGGCGGCGACGCGGCTTTTCTCGCTACTTAGAGAATGGCTCAATACGCTGCGAGGTTTGCTATGCATAGTACTGCGGTTGAACTGCTACCCTACGCATCGACAGAGCAAGCGGCGCACACCAAACACTCTGTGCACGAAGAACGTGCATACTCGAATTATTTTTTCTGCTCTGCCCTCTCCCATGGTAACGCAGGCGGTTCGCGCGGCGGCGAGAGGGCAACCCGCCCCCCGGCCGGCGGCATTCCCCCTCGGCATGTCGAAGGAGGCGTTTATCCTTGCTGCCAGCATGGTCCGAAGGCTGAGGCTCGCCGAAGCCGCGGCGCCCCCGTTTCGCGCGAGACACCAGGGGGGGCTAGGAGCGATCGGGGACGGGCAAGGGAAGGGGGAGGATATCGGTGGTGTCGAAGAGCAGAGGTTGGCGACGCTGAGGTTGGAGTCGCTGAGGATGGAGTCATGGGAGGAGGGGCAGCCGATCGTGGAGGGTTTCCTGAAGAAGCGGAGGTAGGCGGGTACAACGACTTCAGGCGCGGCGTTCTTGTGCGATGACGTGTTAGCATGTGGGGAGGACGAAGAGGAAACAGTCGGTGCAGAGGTTGGGCTTCACGAACATGATGTGCTTTGTTGTTCAAGAACACGAACAACGTACGTGGACCGAAGTTGTTGATGTTGAGCCACTTCGCATCAGATTTATTCGTCAAGCAACTCTCTTCTCAGACTCTTCCAAGCGTGTTCCCGTCGACAATTGGCGAAACCATCATGTATTCTCATCGCAACGTGTACTCTCGTGTCACCTAAAAGAAGCCCCGTATCTGCAGAGTCTTAACCCTTCGCTTGACGTTCCCACGCAGCTCCTACACGATATGCCGCCTATTTTATCGAGCCTATCGAGTTTCGTGTTTGTTAAAACTATCGAGTATCGTCGCACTAACTAATTTCGGTTCCTTCAGGGAGACCGATCGGTGGCTCAAGCGGTGGTGCCAGCTCAAGCGTTTCGCACCGCCTGGAGGAGAAGCCGGAGACACAGGCCCAGCCCTCTTCTACTTCAAGAAGAAGGCGGACGCCCTCCCTTCCAAGGTAGAAGACGTCGAAGGTGTCGAAGAGTGCGACGGTCGTCAGAGTGTTGGAACCAATGTAGTGATGGTGGTACTGTGGGCTTACCGGCATTTTTGAACGTGCCACGCCAGGTTTTCCTTGGTTGGCAGTTTCGTCGAGTTTCGTCGAGTTCTTTCATCCCACGCCCATCCGCCGCCACCAATACAACCACCACTTTCGCTCCCCTCCGGCTTCGTGAACAGGTCATCATGCTGCACCACTGCCTTTTGAAGAAGTCCGACGACCTCGACTTCGCGTTCGAGCTGCACTCTCCTCTTCTGATGGAGGGCAAGAACACAGAGGTAGAGAGATTTGCCAAGTTTGGATTCTCTGCGTTTCGTCGATCCCGAAACAGGAAAAAGGCGAATTTCAGGGGCGCTGCTATTGTACTGGCACCCCCCGTGCAAAACAATGTTTACCGTCACACAGACGGTTACCTTTCTCAGCCGATGAAAGTCCAACACGTGTCTCCCATAGTCTACCTCAAAATAACCCATCACGGGCGACCCAGTTCCTGTGACGTTCTCCGCCCGAGCCACTGTCTTCGTTTCTCTTGTTTCGGTTTGGGGGTTTCCATGTGTCCACTTTGCGTGCAGGGCCGATTATACTTCCAGGCAGGCAACGAGGTGGAGCTTCAGCAGTGGCTGCTGGCCCTCAGAGCTCTGGTCAAGTTCTACGACTTCAAGAACGAAAAGAGACAGTGAGTGGGGGCTAGACGGACGTGTTGAGTTCACCACGCCAGCACATCTTGGACGTTCTGGAGCGGACTCGCAGAACATGGCGAACTAGAGACCGTGCACGACTCGACTGTGTTGGGGACCACCGTAGGCCGGCGAGGTGTTACACAATCATGTACAAGCGCTCTCAAATCTCCACAACTGCAACAACAGAGAATACATGCTTTGTTCAAGCACCCAAAGAACGGTGGTGCCTCTCCCTCCCCATCCTGGTGGATAGCGCGCTTGGTCAGCCATTTTATTACGTTTTTTCATTCTTGAAATGTTTTCCACGGTGCTATCGATATCACGAAGCCACCCAACCCCCAAGGACAACCGAATCGTTTCCACAGATTGCCGATGGAGTACCTGCATCAGGGTACGCGTGAGCGCCTGGTTCGGGCCACGAACAACCTCGGCGAAACTCCTCTCCACCTTGCGGTTGCGTTCGCGGGCCGCACGGGAATGGGAGGCGGAAGAGAAAGTGAGAACGGCTGTGACAAGCGCGAGGTCGGCATCGCAGTGCAGGTGCGAGGGGACAAACGGTTAGGTGGCACCGTTACGAGGATCGATGCCCTCTCGTCGTTGAAATGACGCAGCCTTTCAGACCGGCGTCTGTTCAGTGCTCCTCTCAGTCCTTCCTATTCAGTCAGGGTCCGTTGTCACGGGTTTTCACGCCCGACGAAGGCATTTTGCAATACATGAAGCACGTTCGAAGCACTTGAGATATCGTGTGTTTGTGCACGCAAGCTGCTCCATCCTTTGCGTTGGCAAAGGCATTCTGCAAAATATTGAGGAGGATCGAACCACGTCAATGGTTGGTGTGCTTTGTCGACTGCACGTTGCTCCAGCCTTTTCGATGCCGTCCTGATGTGTGACTAGAGACGTGAAACTAGGCAAAACCCTTGGGGAGTGCCAGAGCTGGTTGGCCGCCCGATCTTCGCAGACAAGGGCAAGCGTTGCCGAGGCAGGCTCCCGACATTGACGCCCTAAAGGGGGATCCACATATGATGTTTCCTTGAGGAAACAGGCCCACCTTCACAACGGAGCACCCCATGTTCGCGTCTATCCCCCCGCTACAGCGAGTCACCACCTGGCTGCTCGAGAACGGTGCGAATCCAAACGCCTGCAACGAGCAAGGGGAAACCCCGATGCACTGCGTCGTGAGGGCAAATAATGTCGACGCAGCGCTAGCACTCCAGAAGGGGTACGGCAGCGTCAACCTTCCCCGCAAGACGGATTGGAAGACGCCGTTGGACCTTGCATCGAAGAGCGATGAGGTGGGTTTGCCACCGCCATCCCGTTATCCCGTTGTTTGTTCCATCGTCGAACGGGAACGTGTCGTGTGTTGTGGTCATACTTATTTTCAAAACCTGGCCGAGGTCGGTGCGAATCAATCAATTGTGTGCGGCGACAGTAGGGTGCAGAGCTTTAGTGCAGTACTGCGTCAAGGGCTGGGTTGGAAGGCCTCTCTCGCAACTCCGCCGCTGGCGCTCGACCCCGCCCACAGGCGAACACTACGTACCCGGCGGACTACACGGGTTCTATTCGGGACACCCAGCGAGCGCACACACCAACGCTGTCGATCAACAGTTGTGAGCCCTACGATATTTAACTCGGCAACTCAAAACGCAACGCCAGAAAGGTGAACGAACAACAGCAGCAGTGCGTTGCCATGCACGCGCTTCACTGGTAACCCTCGCGAACCTCAAACCGCGATATTCAGGTGTGGCAGCGTCTGAGGGACGGGGCACTCGTCGCCGCCATCGCCCCAAAGCTAACGGTCGGAAATTCGGTCGCCGAAGCTGGCGGCACATCGTGGGTGCAGCCGGCCCCGGCTAAGCTCTTGGGCTTCACATACGTATCGGTTTTCCTAGAGACGCTTGTCGTGGCTTCCGCCGCGGACATTGGGAAGCCGACCCTCACTGTGTCGGTTTTCAGCGCGAAGGGGCAGCTCGTCGAGTCAGCGCAGGTGGGGCGATGCTGTAGGAGACGTAGCACACAACCTGGTGTGCAACAGAGTTATACGTCCCGGCGATAAGGGGGAGCTGTAACGTCACATTTGTATCTTACTTCAAACGAGCTAGCTAACGTTCGACCTTTCTTTTGTAGTCGAGGCACTTAAGTACAGCATACCACACGACGTGTTTTGCGATGATCCTCGGTGTTCCCAACGGCGAAATTGATGCCGTGTCATCTTCAGCCCAAGGGCGCGTTGAAGTTCACGTTCTCGACACGAAAAAAACATATCCAACGACCAGAGTTGATGGCCGCAACTTGTCGAAGGCCTTGACGCGTCACCCTACGCTCAGCCCCCCGCCTTTTTGTTTCCGCTTTGATGTCGATTACAAACGTTCGAAGCATGCACGGTACTGCTGTCGCAGCTTTATGATGGTATGGAAAACTTTTGTTCTCGCCGCAGGAGTTCGACTCTCCCACGCTTTTTTCTTCGATTCACCTGTGGTGGGGCCGCACATGGCACATGCAAACCCCCTTAGAAACCTTGGGGTCCGGAAGCTCAATGGTGTTCGAGCTGCGGGATATCCAGGTGAGGGGTTCGAGAAGGAAAAGTCCATGCATGGGCAACGCCCTTTCGAGCGATTCTTTGTTGACTCCCCTACCTCTCCCTGACTTTGATGGCCTTGGCCGTAGGGAAAAAGACGCGCGCAAGCACGTCGCCGGGCAGGGACCTCGTGCCGTCACCGGTCGACCGTACCAAAATAGCTCAACGGCGAGACACACCATCATTCCTGTTGTCTCGTCCTCGTTGTGATTCACCCTTCCCTTTTGGCCACGCGCGTAGCCTGGCCGTTCCAGTTCTATTCCAAGGAGATAGCTCATGGAGAATCACGACAACAAATAACAACCGAAGACTTGGCCGTCATCTGTAGCAACCATGCATGCTTACAAAGGGAGGGCCAAGGTCATTTTGCGTGTATTACGAATTGGCCACGAAGAACGCAGTTGGCAGCAACCTCTTACCCTCTTCGACGCAGCGGTCCACACCCCCGTCTAACAACCCCCCAAATGCATGCATACCTTTCAATAAATGGACATAAATGGACATACCCAGGGCGGGAGCAAGAAGGCCATTTGTTGGGGAGCCTTGCCGTTGGATTCGGACCACCTCAACACCCAGCCGGAGGAACTTTCTGCGTACCTAGCCCCGGTGGATCCGGCGAGGCTGATGGCTGTCGCGTTTGGCAGCGGCGGCCGGGGGGGCGGCCTCTGGCCGCTGCGCGCTGATGCTGCGCTAACAGCGGACGTGAGTCTCACCCGTTCGTTGCGGTGATGGTAGATGCAGTGGGCATGGTGTTGGCGATGACACAACAGCATTCGTTGCAACAGGATTGCGCCGTGGAGAATGTACACCCAGGCGCATGCGACGATGGCAAACATGACGGGCGTTTCTAAAAAAAACGTTTCGGGCCTGTTTCCCGAGGCCGCCGGTGGTACTGGTGTACCAGGAAATCGATTTTTTTTAGTTGCTGTATATAGCCACCGCAAGCCCCGACCATTATTTGTTTGTACTTGTTCCACTTTGTCCCGCCGGTTGTGAGGGGTACCGGGAGTAAAGATGAGAGCTGGCATGAGGCTAAAAGAACTGGGGCTTGCATCGTTTTTGTTCGGCTGTGGCGTCTTTGTGAGGGGTGGAGGGCGGGGATAGTTCCGAAAGGTCTCGTGCCGATTAGATTTGCCGGGGTTGTCTGAAGTGCTGTCCTACGGTAGTACGCATGTTTCGCCCCCGATAAAAGGTGGCCAACCCTGACCGGAGGGCCCTCGAGATAATTACGAGGACCGCGCCCATCACGCTTTCGGTTTGATTTCATGTCACCATTCCGAGCGTTGCAAAATGCTACTACTGTAGGACCTTACGCCTGCATTTTATCAAAGGAGACCCACGTGCAGTGTACAGTAGACAACTTGTATTTTTCGTTTCTGACGTAAACGCAAAAGCTGCACCAGTGTTTCTGTGCTCATTTTGAACGCCAGGCAGCCTCCAGGACCACCTCCGATCGACATGTTTCGTCGACGGACGGGGGTTCTTGTTATTTTGGTGAGGTTTGTTATTGATTTCCAAAAACACGCAAGTATCTATATTGTCGGCCTGGAATTTCGAGTTCTAACTCCTGTTGGTGGTTGCTGCCGCAATGGTTTGCGTTCATTCGACATGCTTTTTTCGCCGAGAGCGACCGCGGGGATGGGCATGGTGGGGCGGTTTCCACCAACAAGTGTTGTTCTTTCGTGTTCTTCGTTGCGCCGTCCGGGGTGTCAACGGCATCCCGCCCGGAAAAGACATTGCTCGATGCCAGCCAAGTAGCGGGGGGCAAACACCATAGGTTGGCAACGGTGCAAGCGTTCCGCTGGCTGCCTTGTGGTCCGAGGGGGGATGGCTAAGGATGCCTTTTGGCTGTTGATGAGCGAAAGAGTAGAAAACACGGCCCACGAGAGGTCGGTGGGATGCCGGTGGTGGTACACACGGCCTCCACCGAACGAAAAAAAGGCGTTATGAAAAGTAGATGTTCCACCGCCGATGATTGGGACACATATCGCAACAACGCTATCGTAAATGTGCTTGACTGAAACTCTTTATACGTGTGCTTGTTGTTGTTGTTGTTGTTGTTGTTGTTGTATATGTGCTTGATTGGAAGTTCTGTATTTACCATTTTAAGGGCGATGTCTGACAGGCCGAGGGTGGCGAGCGGGCTGGGGGTGGCGTACGCGAGAAGCAAGAAGGGCAGCAGCAGCAGTTTATTGTTAGCGATGCAGAGTTGACTCGCAAAGTAGAGTGACGACAATTTTGTGCGTTCGAGGTTGCTTGAGAAAAAAAGTGTAAATGCACGGTGTACGTTGGCATTTGAGCCACGCGTGGTGAACGGACCAACCGTGTTCGTGACAACCTGAGGAGAAGTGGGGGATCATCCGTGATTGTTGTAACTGATGTTAGACGTCCGGCGGTTGGTTTGCTGCTCGTGTGGCACCGTTCAATGCGCCACACTTTATTACAGGAGAGCGTAGGGGGGGTAGGGTCGCCACGATGATTGATTGGTTGTGACTTTCGAGAGCAGCAACGTTTTCTCTCTTTATTGGTCTATACAGGAGATGAAGCAAAGTGTATGGCCTCCGCCTAGTGGCGGCACACATTGTGGCGTGTTTGACATGAACAAGCGTGAACAAGAGCACGGCGTCTTCTGCCGACATGTCCTACTTCTGACCCTAAAACCAAACACATAAAATACCGGGAAGATCTAGTCTATATTATACTTTTTTTAGTCTATCAAACCGTACTTCGTCACTTCTCGATGCATTTTCGTCGTTGTTTGAGCTATCGTCGTCACCGTATTCTCGGGCTGCTGGTGGTGCAATTTCACTTCACATCACACGACGAGTGTAGTGAGGGTGAGGCACGCGGGACAGAGGAGGGAGGTGTGGCTGAGATCCTGTCTGCCCTAACATGACGTACGCGATGAAATAGGTTCGTTCGTTCTTGTCAAGGAGCGATGGCGTGTCCACTAGACTACTGCTGTACCATCGCCGCTTTCGGCTCTCTATCTTTTGTACGTGGCGAAACATTTTGAGCCAGAAAAATTGGAACAAGCTGATCGATTGTTTTTTTCGAGTATATCGTACCGTCCGTACAGCAGTAGACTATACATGTTGAAAAAAAAAAAATGTTGGGCAATGTGTGCGTCGCCATCGACGTCATCATCCGATCAAATAACAGCAGCAGCAGCAGTTTGATCCACTGCTGTATATCCATACACACGCTACATATGCGTCATGAATCGTATATGCGAATCAATAACATTTTCTCGCCGATAGATGCGTAAGAAGTTGTTGTTGTTGTTGTCTTCACATTAAAAACCATCCCGGTCTCTCTACCCAGTACCTCCTTCTGTCTCAATCTCTCCGTACTAATCCATCACTTGACTCGGCCAATTTCCGTGGTCACAGGCTAACGTACCTAGAAAAGGTATACCAAAATAAAATGGACCCCAAGGGTCAGCAGAGCGATAAAATACAAGAAAACAAAATATAATCAGAAACAAATAAAATAAAATAAAATAAATGAAGTAGACTTCATATAGTACCGCGTAGACTTACGACGAAACGAGAAATAAATGAACTGCGCCACCTCAAGCACACTTAAGGGCGGGTCCAACAGGCGTAGCACTTTTCGCGTTCTCTCTCGCGGAGGCGCGTAGTGCACTTTTGATTTTTTTCACATCCGTTCACCAAGTTAGTGGGCAGCTTGCTTGAAACATGGGTCGTGGCTTGTCGGGACACCTCTTGCGAAAAAAAAAGGTATCATATCTCCTTCCTGCAGGTGGTCTTCTTGCATGCACTTGCACTTGCATGCACCGAGGCGTGCAAGAACACGACGCGTCATTTGGTCCGGCCCGCAGGTCCCAAGAGACGCCAAGATAAAGAAGGATCCGGGAAAAAAAAGAGAAACGATACATCTATCTGTCCGGTTGGTCATCGCATAGATGAGGCTGACGCCGGGGGCGGGTGCGAGAGCGAAGATTTTCCGCGAATACTGCGGTAAAGATATCTTATTGCATATAATTTCAAAAATAGGGTGTTTGCGGACTGGTGTTGGGATTACATTTTCAAGAAGTTGCCAGGTAGTATTTTCGAGATGAAAGAGATCGAAATCAAATCGAACTCCGATGTTCGCAAACACCGTGAATAATAGAAACACGTAAGACTTTGAGATGTACATTAACCAGCACAGTCATATCTTCGGATGCATTAGATGCGCAAAATATTGCGCGTCAACCATTGTTCCTCCGAAGCCGACTTTCCATTGACTTTTCGTTTCCAGACGAAGAGGCTAGGATTTGTTTCCATGAAAGTGCACGTTGCACAAAACCTTGTCAGACCCAGACGCACACAACACATTCCTCGCTCCCCCACCCGATCACAATCTCACTCTTCCCTCTGCCACTTCCTCTCTTCGCAACCCAACACACCATGTTCTCCAACGCCAACTCCAAGGGCTGCCGCTGCGGTAAGTGTGTTGCAAATCGATGTTCCTCCGTCCCCGCTGTCGATCATGGTATCTCAACAGCAAGAAGTAGAGCATACCCAAAAGTCCGCAGTGCCTCGTGTCTTCTTGATAGGAACACGCTTGGACAGGTTGAAGTGGGCCTGCCATCTGGCGGTTTTCTGGTTAAGCCATGCCATAATCATTCACGGATCTCCGATGATGCGCTACCTTCCGGCTGTGAACTCCCCCGTTCGTACGCGAATCGCGTGGCGAAAATAAATGCTAGCTCGAGGCACCTTCGTTCCGCGGGGAAGGCAAAATTTATTCAAATCCGCCCTCACACACACGCGAAGATCTCGGGTTGCCTTCTGGCCTGACTGACGAACGGCAGTACAGAGTACAGTAGAGGGGGGCGGATCGCTTTGGCCGGTTGTTGAAGTTCTTGTACCAATGAAGCGTTCAGAGTGCCATCTGCTACGCACCTAGCAGAGTGCCACGTTAGATACAGCAGAAGAGTCGATGTGGCGCGTTATTCGGCGGGTCGAAAGCACGACACGCACCTCCTTTTCGTCTCGTTGAAGTCGAAATGGATTGTAGTACCGCTGTACAGTATTGCATACGCCCCAGTACATTAAGTAATGCTGTGTCGAACAATACACAGCAGTGGGAGGTTACATACCTCTCTCTGTATAGAATATGCACACCATACCGCCGTCGGCTCCCCGAACCTCCTAGGGCCTACTAGTGACAAGGCTTGCCATCCGAGGGTCTTGTCCCCGAGGCACAACATTTTATTTTTCTTGTGAGCAAGTTCTGGCGCTTGGGTTCAGAGAGTCAAGAGGCTCGGTGCAGCAGCGTGTACATACGCATATGCATCCATAGGTACATACATGTACATAGATAGGTGATTGCTGAACCTGCGCAAGTTGCATTCATTCAACACGGGCAAGATACCTGCGTTTGCCTGTACCAGGGCTTGGCATTGAATTGTCCAAACATGCCGGGATGGACCGACGCGATGGATTGCTCGCGCTCCAATGTAGTCGTGGTTTGGGAGCAGTGCGCCCACCACTCGGTGTTTCCCCGAGACCCCTTGAGGCGGCGGAGTTGAATGCACACACTTCGAAGCATACATTCTACCTCCGAGTAATTCGAGAACATTCATTCACAGCAGTTCTAACAGCTAGGTCCACCCCACTTATTTTGCTGTTCCAGAAGAAGCTATTGATTCACAGACGTCCTTCCCTGTACACGTACCCTCGTGCTCTTGTACGAACAATGCACCAATCGATAGTCAGTCGTGACCCCCAGTTCCCTCGTCCCTTCACAAGCGCGCTAGCTGGATCTCATTTGATGAACGCCAAGGCAAATTGTTTTATCAACCCCTGCCGGGTGCTCTCCGGTCGGCTTGCTTCATACTAAACTTGCTCATATCGTTGAGCGGATAAACAAGACAGCCCTTGAGCCATCTCTCTCTCGTATCATCTTGAGAAAGCGCCCGGGGTGGTCAAACGAATATAATCCAAACGAGAGCGTGGGCGCATCTCACAAAACTCCTCGTTTCCTCGTGATTTCGACCCGAACGGCTTGATTGACTGTTGTGCACGAATTCGTCAGGAGCTCCCGCCAAAATTGGGCGAGGATACGAACGGTCCTACAAACAAAAATCGGTACACTCAAATAGTACTCTGTTGTGGTTTGAAATAAAAAAACAGAAACTTCCCGCGGCTAGACTAGTTGTACCTGTGGGGCGTCATGCTCTTCCGATTTTTTTTGTCATCTCGGTACCCTTGAATAACCCCCCCCTGTTACGGTATTTTGAATGTGTAGGAAAGTACCAAGGGTAGTGCGAGCTAATGCCCGATTCTTGGGTGGCGGTTCCTGATTCGTCAACACGTAGGCCTCACACCACACCGCACGCTCAAACTCGTTCGAATTACTTGCCAGTGTACGGGTTCGGGGAAACAACCTGTGCTCGGTCAAGGCTCGATAAAAAAGAAACGTACAATATACCCAAAAGCTCAAGAACTGTCGAAGATGGCGCGCACCCCCCCAACAGTAGCCTGTTTCTAATTCTGCACGCATTTCATGAGCCGTGTTATTTTCGTCGGCTGCCCCGCGACCAGGATCTATACTATTCCAGCTTACGATGACGCCTCCGACTCCGTTTTCCCACTTCTCCGTTCCTTCCGTTTCGTGGGTTGCCTGCTCCCTGCTTGTGCTGCGGACACATCCGTTTGATTTCGTACGCAGGCGACTCCAACTGCACCTGCGGCAAGGCCCGTGCTGGCTGTGTGTGCGGGTGAGCAAAAAGGATCCGTTGATTTCGATCCTAGAGAAATGCGCAAAGATATTGTGAAAATATAATTATCTTATGGTTGTGAATATTCGACGCCTGGCTGTTCCCAGTGGAAGTAGATTGCATTTGTCTGGTACGCTACTAGACTACGGATTTGCTTTGGATGCGCTGGGCTCGAGAACTATTGAGTAGCCATGGCCCTTGCGGTACCAAGGGATGCTCATGTCGTATTGAAAAAAAAACGGTGCTGAGACGTTGCTGAAGTGCGTCGTGCTCATGTTCCTCGTGCGGTGCCTCCTTGACGCGGTCGGTAATATCCCGGTGGTGGTCCTCAACCCGTTAGACTACAGCGAGACCGCTAGTGTGTCCGGCAGTATACTGAAACAAGTCGCATGATCCCTGACTTTTCTCTTTGGGTCTTCTCTTGGTGCGCCAGCCAGTGTTTGCCTGATGTTAGACCTTGATCGAGAGAAAAGAAAGGGGATAAAAACGCACAATTCGTCTTCCTAACGATCTATTCAACAGCGTTTTCTTCTTCGCCAGCCTCGGTACACAGAAGCTAACGATGCTTTTTCTCGATCTCGCATTACCCGCTCTAACCGGCTTGCTGCGCAGCGACAACTGCTCGTGCGGCAGCACCTGCAAGTGCGGCGACGGCTCCTGCGGATGCGGCAAGTAAAAGCATCTTGCGTGGCGGCTGCAACGACAAGGGCAACAGCATATTTCACATGAATGACCACGGCGGCAGCGATCCATGCCCCCTGATCCGTTGTTTGCGCAGAAGCCCTGTATATCTGTACATGGTGTCGGAGGGATGGGCGTGTGTGGCCTTGGAGCAACAGCTCACATTCTGATGATAATTTGTTTCTTGTTTTTTGTCGCCGACTCTCCTGAAGTGGATGCGATGGAACTTGCGAGATGCGCCACGGAGGAAAGTTGATCATCGTGTCCCGCACGACGAACGTCGAGCGTTGTTCCCGCGGGATACCCCTTCCTGCCATTTGTGCGCTATGGCGCTAGTAGTCGGGTGTACACGCCGGCGCCGAAATCATTCTCCATGCCCTGGCGTCGTAATTTTTTGGTGCATTGCAATAAAAACGTAGGGGAGCAAGTTATAAGGATGCAGCGATCGTGTTTGTGTCGAGTCCTAACGTCAAGGAGGAGAGGGATTGGTAATGGCACTGTAGAGAACGTCACGGTTGGCCGCGTTTGGCTGTAACCCATGAGAATCTGCGTGTCTTATCCTTGTTTTTTCGTTTCTTTATTTTCCGTTGGTGCAAGTCCTGCCTTCGGGTTTGAAAGCTGGTCTCCTAGCGACACGGTGCGTTTAAATGTGCTACTGCTATACCCATGTACAGGAGCACGTGAGGAGCTTTGCAATCCTCGATGTTTTTCTCTGAAAAGCGCATAATTATGAGTCATGCTCTTCCCGTCTTACCCCGCGGCGGGACATGAGAGCCGCCCGGTCCAACACGACCCATGCTCAACGGAAAACGTCCCCAATTGGGCCTTCATGCATCCTTGGAAGAAATAAGAGAGAATGACTCCTCCATTGAATGCCGGTCGGTGTCTCAGTACACGTGCATCAGCAATGGATGTTTCCAGGCGCACAGCAGTCTGTGCCATGTCGTTATCTCTTTGACATGTGGGTAACGTCTCCATCCTTTAACGAGGTTCGTCTAAGAGCAATCGAATCATCGTTCCGTGCCATGTTTCGTTTTCACGAAAAAAACTGTAGTTTCAGTTTTATTCCCAGCCTTCCTTGTTCAGGTATCGCCGACTTTCTTTGCGACCGAAAATTGCCGTCACATGCCCCACCAATGTTCACCTCTTGTGGTGGTTGAATTGTGTCCCTTAGTCGGGAATCTTACAAGAAAGCATTGTTGTCACAGTAGACGCAGCACATGCGTACATGTATGCGTTCAGAGCATTCAGTATGCAAGGAAATAACATGCATGAAGCACCATTTGAGAATCTCTCCTATTATGAATGGAAGAGTGGCATGAATTCCCGTATTTTCGGTTACTTCCCGTACCACCGTGTGATAATGGCGATCAAGATGCTTCACCTAACTTGGGAGGCACAACAAACTACTCTGATAAACCCCGCACAACGCCGCTGGGATCCATGCCCGCGAAAAACGCCGGCCGCGGTGTTACACACTCGGCCAACCGATGTTGGAAGAGGACATTTCTCCACGAGGCCACACACTTCGTACGCGGTGGAGTAGTCAGTTACCACGTCGACGAAGGGTTGGATCACTCGTTGTGCACGACATACGTATTTGGTCATAAATAAAACTACCCCCCATGGAGTGAGTTGAGTCGATGTGGTCGAAACACGGTGCAACCAGACATGGGGTAAGAGGATCATGCGCTCAAGAAGAACGTGTATGTGGGGTTTTCCGTCCACACCCGCAGCAGTCCCGCAGCGCAATGCTATATCCATTCGCGTAGAAAGGCGGTCAAAACGACCATTCATCCCCATCGCAATTCAACGGACGATGCAGATATTATTTATGTGTGTGTGCAAGACCGGGTCCACCGCATCCCAATCAATCCAAAGATAACTTCCTGTTCAGGATAATAAGAGCTCAACGCACTACCAGTATGGCTACCACTGACCCCACCTTTCACATGACAAAGCAGACCACCACCAACACGCCAGCAATGAATGGATGGTGCAACGCCACACGACAGCAAACCAACGTCAGCTATGACTGGCGCGAACCACAGAGTACACGAGTTCAAGGCGCAGCAGAATGTCGCAGCACACTCGACGACCTGCTTGCCATCATCAACACGGCAGTAGATGGTCATCAGCAGCCCCGACCATTCTTGAAACCCCCTCACGCTGAGTTGATTGAGGTGATGATGCGGTATGCACCAACCAGAAGACCCTGGCGCGAGAGACGAAGGAACCACGAAATACATGCGAAACGACGATGACGTAGACATGTCGTCAAAAACACGTTGGGTAATAAACTATTCCTCTCGGTTGATGGGTGCCGGTGGACCTTGCGCAACGTCTCGTCTTGTCACATCGATTTCGTCGACGATTATCGTTTTGGACCACGCGACTTGCCTTTTGACTCCGAGAGAATTCCTGTCTGTCTGTCTGTGTCGCTCTGCCTGTTAATTATCTTTTGTGCGTTTTTTCGCTGACCGTATCATCGTCCGCAGCATGCTGCACGTGCCATGGGCGTTCTTGCTCTCGACGTTCCCGTACGATGGCTAATTTTGGACAAGAAGCTTGGGTGCAAGCTCCGCTGACGACGGTGATCACCCCTTGAGTATGTACTGTAGCCTGTCGCATTCAGAACTCGGCCTCTTTTCTTGCGACCGGGTGTTAGATATACTCGCAGCAGTATCTGGTCGTGAGGATCCCAGGGGATACGTGTTGGGAATTTCGTGTGTAGTAGGGTTCCACCGGTGCAGTCACGGGGATCCTTTTGGCGTGGTTGATGCGATGGAGCTTGCGTGCGTGCTGCGCACTTCTTCCCTCTCTCTCTCCACCACCACCACCGTCTCTCTCCAATCAAGTTTCCTTCTCCCACTCTCTCTCCAACTCTCTCTCAACCTCTCTCTCTCGGCCTAACACGGTCGACTACCCAGTGCCCCAAGTAACGTCCAGAACGTGCTTGCTTCACCCCGCGTAGTTTACCTTTCACACTAGCGCGATATCACGGTATCTGCGCGCGGGCGTAGCCTTCCGGGGGTTGTGCAGCCACGCGCAATCGGTAGACTCCCACAACAACATACACCATGGAGGGCATCGACCTCTCCGCCCTTAGCAGGGAAGAGCTGCAGCAAAAAGTGGAGGAGATTGTCCAGCAACGAGTGCAAGCCGAACTCGAAGCCAACNAGGGAAGAGCTGCAGCAAAAAGTGGAGGAGATTGTCCAGCAACGAGTGCAAGCCGAACTCGAAGCCAACAGAACGAGGGTGAAGTCACCTACGCCCCACCATCTGCCGGCAACCCGGTCCCACCTACCGGCAGCCAGCCATCACCCTCCAGCCAGGGTAAAACACCTTCCTTCAACGACCCCAGCAGCGTCGCACACATCGTGGCGCAAGCGGC